CAGCTGGAGCTGTTGTTGCTGGCAGATGGGACTGCTCCACTGGGCCTACTTTTATTAAACATCCAGCACCTTCAGCAGCCACAAAAAACCTTCCAGCATTCCTGACACGCAGAGACTATTGCTGAGTGCAAATCCAAACTGCTCATTTTCCATCCTAACCCACGGATCCAGTGGCACTCCCTCCTTCCAAGAGAACCTGGACTGTGCAGGTGCATTTCTGCACTAATATGGTTTGTGGCAAACCAGAAAATACAATAATCTCATATGAACTATAGTTTGAGAACTTTGCTTTATTCTCTCACTGGCACACACAAGATGCTAAAACCTATTTTCATTCATCTATTCATTCATGCACATTTAATGCAACATCAATTGCATAGGACATATTCCAAGTAGGACACTTCCTTATTTCCCTGCTTCATTAGTTTAGTTTTCTACATACTTATTAGCTTTTTAAAAGCAGCAGCTAGCTGGGCTCTCTGCTAGTATGATTAATATCTAAATGCCATCTTGTAGTTACTGCCTTGAGCCTCTGCTTCGTCTTCACTTGTTTTTATTGATGCATTATTTATTTACAGACAGGATTATGAAAACACTTCCACACACCAAAAAAAAAAATTAAAAAAAAAAAATCAAACCCTCAAACAAACAAAAAACAAGCCAGGAAAAGCACAATACTCAGGGAGTCTTTAGGCACAGAACAGCTTCGCTTTTCAGCTCAATAACCCAAGGCAGCAGCTGCCAACCTTGTTTATATTTGTTACGTTTGAAAAGCCCAACAGGAATGAGCACGAGAACTACTGACACACAAAACACTCTCAGATCTATAGCTCAGCTTTCACCCCAACTATCACACAGCAGAATCTTTCTCCCACTCACCACAAAAACAGCAATTAATTAACTGGACAGGCAATAAGTAATTAATATGCTGTGAGGAAGGTACATTGGTGGAAATCATTCTCAAGAAAAATGGGAAAAAGCAGGACTTAAAGACAAAACATACTCATGCTGAAAACCATGATTCTAAACCAAACTATTCTTGTATTACTGATTTCAAAAAGCTACTCGGGCGTTTGGCCACAAAAAATCACCTATTCAGTAATTTAAGGAACATCCTCTCAGAACAGAACTCCAAATAAAAACAAAGCATTTCAGTCAATTGAATCCACTTGCAGAGCAGGTACTTTTGAAAATAAACCTTATGTTTCTTAAGGTGGTTTCTAAGTGATAATTATAAAAAAAGATGGCCTTTTCTTAAACTAATCCCACTCAGTTACTGTTTTGATATAGTTTTTTAGTCACTAATTTGATGGTGGCATTACCTCTTCTTTGGAAAGTATTTTGCATTCTCAGTTTAACTTAAATAGCAGAATTTTGCAGCTTCTAATTTCTCTTGTCTTTAAGAATTCCTCCATTAGCTTCCCTTCTCCCACCCCCACTTCTCCCATGTCCACTGGAGAACTCCTGGCAGTATCATTCCAACAGATCCCATCTGCAATCAGATCTGAGCTGAGCAGCACAGGCCTCCTGCCAAATTCCAGCCCCTAAATGCAGTCAGCACATGTGACTCCAGCTGGGCTGCACAATCTCAGCTTTGCAACATGGATTTTGAAACAGAAAGACTGGCAATCCTCTGGGTGCAAGGTGCTGCATTACAGATCAGTGCCTTTGCAACCATAAAGGGAAAAAAAACATTACTTTTGTCATGTTAGAAGAGTAGATGAATATTGTGTTTCAAGTACTGGTTTCAAAATTGCCATATTTTGCCTCCTTCCAGCAGAAAAAGAAAAGTCCCAATTACTCCCAGGCAGTGTCCTTAAACATTATGGGTTAAAACCCTTCGTAAGAACTCTCTTTTTCTGAGATTCAGACATATATAGAACTGTATTCAGCTCCACTATCATTTTTAAACACTGAGAAATTATAAAGATAGAGATGTTGACTAAAGGCCTTGATCTCCTACAAGGAAATACCATTAAAGGCAGACAGGATAACAAGTAAATTCTGTAGGAGCCCACAACAAAATCACGTTGTTTTGCTTCTAAGGCAAAGTTAAGCTGTGTAACAAAACTGAGTGTAAGCTTTCTGAGCCAGGAGATGTTTTGCTTTGCTGGCAAGAACACCGTGAATGACAGGCAAGCCCAAAAGCTGTAAACAGCCAAACTCACACAAAAACTGCCAAACAAAAGCAGCATGTCAGGCAACAACCCCCGTGGCATTCTGACTTCAAGAACATACTTTGTTATTATGGATGTCAAAAAACACTCCTTTTTTTATAGTCATTAAAAATGATGTATAAATAGAGAACCCCTGTGACACATTTCATTATCTGTGTCTTTGTACTGTTTCCTGAACAAAATCCTGAGCACTTTGCCTCAGTTTCACCCCAATGCTTTGGTCTCTGCCAACACATTTACAAAACTCAGACTTGGACAAAGTTTAAACTCAGGACCCACAAAGGATTTGTAGAATAGCTTGGCCAGTCAATACCCACAGAATTAAAGTTCAAGTAACAGCCAAAATCCCTTCTTAGCTATCAGACTTCACAGTGTCTCATCAATCCCATATCACAATAGTCCATTAGGCTTTAATTCCAAGATAAGGGAACTTTAACTGTCTTGGAGGCCTAAAATAGTCACTACTCAGCATACCACCAGCCTCTCAGATTTGCCTCCTGTCAACTTGATTAGTGCCCAAATGACAAAATAACCTTTTCAGGGGCAAGATATCTGAGCCTCCACCATTTTGTCAGCACATCTGAGGGTATGAAGCAGGAACCCAGCCCACAATTACTATTGCATTCCCTCTATTTTCAAATTGCTTCATCAGATATGAGTCTCAGATACACTAATGTCCCTTTATGTGCTCGGGTTTTGGTCAACAAGTTCAGCCCTTAATCACGAGGAGTTCAATCACACAACTGTGAGGTTGCAAAAAACTGAGGACCGTGAAAACCAAAGAATTTTTGGCAGAAATAGCAACAGCACTTGTGCCCCCAAATCTTCCATGTAGCCTAAAAGCTCACCAGAAGAATTTCAGCTTGAAGTTACATGTGTCAGACAACTTTGTTGGGAAGATTCTTTGAAGCAAAGATTTCTGCTCAGGTTTTTTCTCCCCACCAAACAATGCCTTATTCATATCCTTTATTATACAATCCTCCTCTGCTCAAACTACTCCTCTGTCTATTGTTTTCTTGTGTTTCTCCTCTAAGAGGGAAATACAGGTAAAAAACACCCCCCAGACTGCAACAAGGTGTAACTATTGCAATTGGTGATTCCTTTCCCACAGCCTGCAATGGCTCCAATGACTTCAACCTGACCATCTGTCACATCAGCCAGTCTGTGTCACAGCCACAGGGCTCAAATAGAAGGCTGCAGATCAGAACATTTCCAGAGCCCAAAACAGATCCAAAACTGCAAAGAAACTGCCAACTAGGTAAATCAGGAAGTACTTTTCTCCTTTTGAAAGCTGATGCATTCCCAATGTGTCATTGTGGTGCAGCTCCAGGACCCAGAAGCAGAACCAGTGTCTTTGGTCTACACCACATCTCAAACTCAGACAAACAAATTGCCAGAGATTGACTTGTCACCCTTGTTGTTCCACCACAAACAAGGTGTTTCCACAGGCTCCTGGAATTCAAACACCTCAAGCACCTAAAATGATTGCTGTGATGACTGCAGCAAGAAAAGCTCTCACAGAGGCACCCAGTGGTGCTGCTGGAGCCCAGAGCTGGTGGCATTTCCATAACAAATGGCCCCTGATGGAGTCTGCAGTTCTCCCATTCTACACTGGGATCCAACCATGGCATACAAGCACCTGTTCTACATGAGGTGACTTCAAACGTCCCCCTCCCACTCCTATCTTACAACAAAACTCTGAAATCCATCCCCAAAAAAGTTTCTTCAGGTAGTATTTCACATAAGGCCTGAAGATAAGAGTTTATTACACTAAAAAACAAGCTCTCTTCTGTATGACACCTGTTTTCCAACGAAATCATAAACACTGTATATAATTTAAGTGATCACAACCAGGACTTAAAATGCCATGGCAGAAGGAGGCTGATGTACAACCTTGGCTAAAAAAAAAGGGAGAGGCCTGTGTGAAACCTCCTTTGTGTTACCAGGCAGGAGTAAATACTCCAGTAATCAGACAGCAAAATAACTCAGTGCTCTTGGAGTGCTGCTTCCTACAGCTGCAGACAAGATGACTCTACTTGATTACCCAACAATGACAAACTCCCCCAAGAAGAGCAGTAGAGAGGCAGAGCTGTTGGGCTGCACATGAGGAACTGTAAATGCTGTCAATACTGCCCTGACTTCAACTATGTAAATACAACCAACCAAACAACAAAATAGGTGTGCCTGTACTCAGTTTCCCACAGAATAGTCTTCCCCTCCAAATTAGACCCACAATAATTATTTAAGAAGCCTAACACTTCTAATTGGTTAGGAAAGAAGATGAGTTTTTGTAGTCTGTTATTTTGCTGTCATTTAGACACCTACTCTGGAAAGCATAAAACTTGATATCCTTTTCCCCTCAGCTTTCTCACTCAAATTATGTTCATAACCACAGGCATAGACTGCAGAATGAGCACACCAAGAACTAAAGCACAAGACCCAAGCAGGACTTACACCACAATTATCATGTGGTGCTCTGCATTGTATCCCTGTAGCTGTCAGTTCACACGATATTCCCACACACTGAAGTCAACAAAAAGGTTTTCGCTTCAGTATTCTAATATTTCTGCTGAATTTCCAGCTCACCACAAGCAAACACCTTAAATAACAGCATCAAAATCAAGATATTCATGATTTAGACTTTCTAGTCAAATTCAGAGACAATCCAATTTGTAACGACAACCTCAGAAAAGCAGAATCCCCAAAAGATCAATTCCAGATGATACAAATGCACACATTTCTCAGCCTGACAGAAAGAAAAGAATCACGCAGGAAACGTGGGGAGAAAGAAAAGACTCCCTTAAAAGATTCAAATAAACTTACTGGTTGAGTTGCCTTGCATCTGGATGATACATTTGGACTCCTTGCTGGTTTCCCGGGAGTTGAAGGGCCGGACCCGGACAGCCACCTTCACCGAGGCCCCCGACATCCTGGCTGCTCGTGGCACAGTCGAGGGACTGAAAGTGCTCAACAGCCTTTCGAGTTATCCTTGTGGGTGTTTTCTAGAGAGAAAAACATCATTTAGTTCTTTACAGCTGTTGCATTCAAGATGTTGATTAAACATTGATTAAATTCTAAGTTATTTGATCACTTCAATCTCTGCTCTGCGATCGCCCTCCCTGACCCCCCCCAAAAGGTGTCACCTCAAAGCCAGAACTGGAAACACAACTATCAGCACCCACTCACTGTCCCCCCAGTCACAAGTTTCTGCCACCTGAGGCAGTTCTTTTCAAGTGTACAAATATTTGTTTTCAATACTTGGTTTTCTTCCCAGAAAGTAGGGATGCCAACACCAAAATAAAGATCTGGTTGCAACATATGTGAGGCTTAACCTAACAAAGATAATTTTAGCAGTAAAGACACAGCTACTTAGATTTCAGCAGGAGGCAGGACCATATACCCCATCCCCAAGTTCCCTGGCTGCCCAGTGCATTAGCAACAACATTCAAACTGCCACGAGGGTCATGGGCCATATCACACTGCCTTTCAATGCACATGACTCCAGAGAAAAGGGTGTACCCTTAAAGAACCCTTTGCAGTCCTGGGAAAGTCCTCTTCTCAAAGGAAATAACAACTCAACAACTACTTGTCTATCTACTGATTAAAGGACACGCTTAAGGAAGAAGAGGAATCAAGAATTATTGCCTTCGGGGTAAATATTACTATCCATCTTCAGACAAATGTCCACCATTAAATTCATCTTCATTATCAAAATCCTTGTTCTAATCCCACCACATCCAAATGATGGAGCACTTTGGTTGCACGAAACCATCCCTGATAGCCACTATTCGAACTTTAAGGCTCAGAACTATTCAAACACAGGGTTAATAAAGATTGATTTGGTTGTATTTTCCTCGACCAGCCTCTTCCATCAGAACAAGGGTTTTCAGTCAGTCAACAATTCAGAAGTTTCACTTCTTGCCACAGGATGTTGTGATTACTAAAGTGAAACTGCCTCAAAAAGGAGGAAGGTAGATTCAGAGAAAGTCATCAAGGCCTGCTAGAAAGCTGCTCCCCTTGGCTAGGAAAGCCTCCATGGCACAGACACTCACAACCTGGAAGACCACAGTGAGGAAACACAATCCCATCATTGGTTTACCCTTCTATTCTAAATATCTGCTATGGCCACTGCTGAAGACAGGACTCAGGGCTGGGTGAATCCCTGCTCTGGCTCAGTGCAGTCACTTCTATCTGGAACCTGAGTCACCAGGGGTAGAACTCGACCCTGCCCAAGTCATCACATGTGGCCCAGAAATCCTGACATCTCCTTTTCTGGTTATCCATGCACCACATAGCCAGTGGACTGCTCATTTCAGGGTTCTGATCACAGTGCCACAGAAGTACAAAACTTACCAGAAGATCTAAAGTGGAAGCATTTCAGCTCTAAAGTAAGTTCTACAGCTGGTAAAAATACTCATACGTGCTTAATTCAAGTTATGGCACATCTTCACACAGCACAAGAAGTTTTTAATAAAATTGCATTACTTCATTAATACCATCACATGGTGAAGGGAGAAATTAAATTACTCCAGCAAGTAGGAGTAATTTAAAGCATTCTTTATTTCAGGAGGTACCTGAGGTATCTCACCAGACTAGAAGAATGTCTTTAGGAGCAAGCCAAGTGAATCCCAATGTCAGCAGTACAGCAAACTGGTAGAACAATGATTAATGAGGCAGACACACAGTCAGCTTTGGGTTGGGATGGAATTTTAAGAAGTTTCACTGAAAAAACTAAGAACAGAGCAGAGGACTGATGGGAATGAATTCCCGTGGTGCTCAAAGATTCCAGGCTGGTTTGGAGCGCTGCTCCACTCCCTTTGCTCCGAGGTTCCTTTCATGTATAACAAAGTATCAAAGTTGCAGCTCCATTATAAACTTTCCTCTGGAATATCCCCTGCGTGGATTTTCGCCCTCCCTCCCTAACAGGACCCTTGCATAAGTACCTGTGCCCTCACAGCAAAGCCAAGTGACAGGGCTAATCCTGACACAACCCAGAGCTATTATCCAACTGACCCTGGACACTGCTGCTGGGAACAGGAATGTTACTGTACATGGCCACTCAGCAGCCTGCTTCCGAAATACAACTTCAAAAATCGAGTGCAAAATGTCCCTTTTTATCAAGTTCACGGTGACACAATTTACTTTAACCAACGTGTTCTTATAATATTGTTTATGAAATGCAGGGATTGTTTCCCCTTCGTAATGCAGAGTCCCACGAAGACTTTTTTTCTGATGTTTTCACAGAACTACCCCTCAGAACACTGCACGAACTTCTGCAGATAACTAGTGCATCTAGGAAACTGCCAAACAGAGGGTGGGATCAAAGAATCATCTGCTCTAAAATATATGTTCTCAAGTACCTCTGAACATCATATTCACAATAAGAAAGCATGAAAATCACACCTCCAGAGCCTCCATATGCACCAGCTAAATGACAGCCTTGTTTGAAGCAGGGCTGTGAAGAAATTCTCACAGAGCAGGTCACAAAATCACCTACAACACCATGAAAATTGAACTGCTAGCCTTCTGCAATTACCAGCTTTTCCCAACTCTAACTTTTGTGCTGATGGAAAATTAAAGTGGTATCATTTTAAATCTCCTTTCTTCTCAACTCTGCTGTTTTTCATAGCTGAAGTAAGCAAAATGCCTACTTGTAGTTGCACATGGATTTCAGATGTGCAAAGTTTAATTTTCCTTAATAAGAAAATTCACCAAAACCATTATATTTTGCCAAGCTTCCCATAGGTTTAAGCTGTTGGGGGTTTGAGGGTTTTTTCCACTTATCAGCAACTTTAAGTGGCTGTAATGTTTTATAAAGGCAGCATTGCCCTCAGTGTACAGATTGATAAAATAAAGGAAAATGAGCCCAAGTTGCAGAGCATCACAGACAATAAATTGCAACTGGTTTTTCGAGGTTCACAGTTCCCAGTAGTATCACTTCCCATTACAAAATGCTGACTACAGAGCGGAGACACAACTTGAAAAAGAGCAAACCAAAATATGCAATTCAGTCTGTGGTACAGATTTAGAAGAACAATATTCATAAAAGACAGCTTTTTTTTTTTTTTAATGTTCATTACAGGCTCAGAAGGCTGCCATCCATGCTGGAATGAATCATTCCCCTAATGCCTTGGAAAGTCTGTGAGCTGTGTCTCTTTTAATGTTCTGTCTGTACGAATCCAATCAGGAACCAGGCAGGGAATTGCCTGCGTAAGGAAGGCTTTGACGTGATACTCCACTGGCTCCAAAACAGGTGGCAGATGATATTTGAGGTGTTTAGGGAGCTCCATCAGCACAAAGGCAAATCCTACACTCTGGTTTCACACTTATTTTAAGCTGTGATTAAAAGATATCCACCCTGTAAATCACACAGTGAGATTTTAATATTAATGCGTGTCATTAAACAAATCATTTAAGTATCTTGTCTGTTTACTGGTATTCGAGCTGACAAACCTAATTATGTTGATCAATCACCCTTCACAGGCTCAACTAGATTTGGACTTTCACACAAATATTTGAAGAAACATTAAGACTTGGATCCTTGGATGTATTTGAAAGTTTAGGCAAATCAGTTTTTATGCAATGTCAAAATACAAACATATTGTGGGGTTTTTTTAAGTAAAGTTACAAGCTGAGTAGGGATTTAAAGTCAAATTATTATTTATATGTTCAGAGAAGTTTGCTTTTGCAACCACTTTGAGCTTGTTGCAATGTTCAGAATCTGTATCTCTACACTCAAATAAAAATAAAAAAACCCACTATATATCACAAATGAAGAAGAATCACTTTTATTTACAATAACCACCCACTGTGTCATATTTGCCCAGGGTTCGCCTACCAGAGACTGTGCTAACTTTTAAACAAAAAAACTGCTTAACCTAATCAGTACAACAGCTCTAAAGGAATAAACCGAGCCCAGGGATTAGTATGTGGAAAGTTAGCAAAACAGCTGTTCAGGGCAGCAGAGGTTTAGGAACAAGAGGTCCACAGCCAAGCCAATTTTAGGTCCTGCTCTGAGGCTCAGTGATGACACTGTGATCCCTGAGCTGAACTCACGGCACGCTCTGCTATCTTTGGACCAGGTGAAGATGCCAGACCAAACTGTGCTGCAGAACTTGGCGATGCCCTGAAACCCGATCACATGAACACATGGCTATTTACCAACACACCGACACCGCATTGTGCAACAGCAGAAAGAACTGAGCTAAGGCGGCGCTGGAAGTGAGGAGAAACATCCTTTTAAATCTGGTACGAACGCGTTTTTTCCATTCCGGAAAACAGCTGTAAATCCATCACCCGCTTCTGGTGAATTCTCCGCCCTGAACTGAACACCCGCGTTCTGCCAACGACCCCAAATCCGCCAGGTCTCTCATCCATCCCTCCATCCATCCATCCATCCCTCCATCCATCCCTCCCTTCTCCTGCCTCCCCGCGCTCCCGGGATTGTCGGCTCATCCTCCCAACATGGCTGCCTCGGGAACTGTGCCGTGCCCAGCCCGGCCACGGACCCGCCGCTCGCAGGGCCGCAAAAAACCGGCCTGGAAAACACCGCCCAGCCCGGCCACGGACCCGCCGCTCGCAGGGCCGCAAAAAACCGGCCTGGAAAACACCGGCCCTTCACATTCCCGCATCTCCAGCTGGAGGAAGGGCTGTGCCTCCCCCTCCCTGCACCGGCGACCGTCGCCTCCGCCTCATCCCAGCTGGAAACGGGGGGGAAAAGGACGGCGGAACGCGGCGCGGCGGGAGGGATCGGCCGAGGGAAAGGCCGGGAAGCGGCCGCCCGGGGGAAAAGGAAGGAAAGGGAAGGAAGGGAAGGGAGGGAAAGAAGGAAGCGTCCCGGGGGATGGAGATGCGTCGGGCAGATGACAAGGCCGAGCGGGGCCCCACGCCCTTGCGTCGCTGCCCTGACAGCTCCGCATCCATCCATCTCCATCCTCCATCACCATCCCATCCTATCCACCTTCCCCCCCCCCCCAATCCCCCCCGGCCCCACAGTTGCGTC